TAGTAGGGAAAGGAGGCAAGAAATGTAACACTACTGTGAAATAGTGGAAAGGAGGATGAGCTCAGTGAAAGCTAGTATATTAACAATGAATTAAATAAGAAATGGAATAATGCTAGCTTTAGATTGTACCTAGGATGGATCCGGTACTCTCTCTGCTCTAGCAGTTCATGTGAAGGTGCATATTCATTTTCAAAGAATGGCTGGTGCTGCGGTACATAGAATGCAGGATGTTTCAGTGCCTTCTAGGTTGGATTTGGGGTGTGTTAGTCCTTGGCTGTGGGGCTCCACCTTTAAAAAAAAAAAAAAAAGAAAAAAAAAAAGAAAAAAAAAAAGATGCCCAGTTTCCATAGTATTTGGTAATACTTGTAGCAGTATTCATGTAGCTACAGGTGAGCTCACTTCATGTACTGCCATTTGGTATTTTGTAATCAGATTCTTGTTTTTATGAGTCCCAGATACTACTTCAAGTAGATGTAAAGGTGCTGGTGAATTCTTCAGCCCTTGTTTGCATGCAGACCTCCTCAACATGAATTAAAGTCAAAGCAAAATAAGGTGATGTATGAGCAAGAATTTTCTCCTAGGGAGCAGGGTGCCCTAGGTTAAGCCCAACAACTTTGTACCACTGAAGATTTAGATTCGTATTTCCTTATAACTGCATGATCTTTTGCTTGTGCCATCTAAGTGGGAAGAGCTGTTGGAAGAAGTAGACCAGGACTAGGGTTGCCTGTTGTCTTTTGTGCTGTAGCCTTAAGCTGCTGTGGTGTTTCTATCCCTCCTCTCTTCTGCACAGTTTCTCAGTCCATCAAATGGAGGAAACTGTGCAGAGCTATTTCATGCATAAACATGAAATAGTTGAAATGCTTATATCACTTTACTGGAAACACTGACAAAGAGGGAAATGTGATAGGATTATGCTGCCTTTCAGGACTTACTACAATGCAGATATCTCTTCAGGGACTTCTGTTTTGGTGAGAAGTGACTCAAAAAACCCTCATATAATTCAAGATGCTGACTGTTTGTGGTTGGTCTGTCTCAAAACCCTGCTGCTCTAGGCATGGGAGGTATTTGCATCTTGGAGTGCATTAGAAGTTAAATCTCCGGAGTTGTTCAAAGTAGTCTTGCTGCCTCTGTTTGCTCCTTTCTCAAAGATTCTTGAGGACTCTTTCCTCTTAAGGCTTTTAAAGAAGTGAATAAATGTTTAAAATAATGCCTGTTTCTTTAAAACAGAATGCTTTGATCAAGGTGTAGCTGCAGAAGTCTGGAGGAAGCTGTAAATCCTATTAGTGACACAGGCTGCAGGAAGAGACACTCAGGAGGGTGGGAGGGAGAGCAGAACATCTGCCTCTGAATGAGAGCTGCAGGTACAAAGGCGTCAGGTGCCTAGCAGTAAAGTGCACACATTGCCACTGTTTGCTGTGTATCTGTGGGAAGCATCAGGAGTCTTCGTGTGCATGAGTCACTCCAGCAGCAGCTGTGAGTCACATCCATACACGTCAGTGTAACTCCTTGGCTGTGCCAGCACCACGAAGGAGCAACTGGAGGCATCGTGGGATGAGAGGACTAGTTTGCAGAAGTCCTCTGATATTAGGTAGGGAAGGAATGAGACTTTCAGAAAACACACTGTGATCTGAGGTTTGACTTTATGACAACTGTATTTCAGGTAAGCTTCTTTGCGGCTGAGTGGCTTATAGCAATGTCCTGAACTCTAAAACCAGAGCTACTTGGTAGTCTAGGATCCTCTAAACTTAAAGTCCTCTACCTGAAAATATCCTCTGTGCCCAAGTGTTATTTGTTGATTTAACTAAACTTTTATTAGAATGTCAGCTATTGAGGTCAGGGCTACTGTAGAAGAGAATAAAAGAAAACAAAGTGGAGGAACTTGCTGGAAGTGCGGTTGCTGCTATTACAGGTGGAAAAATAATGTGTGAACATGTTTTTGATTGTGTAACAACAATAACTGGCTTGACACACTGAAATGAAAGTTTCCCTTCCAGGTGATTCTGTGATGCACTTGAACCACAGAATTTGTGGGCTGGAAGAGTGCTAGTCCTTGCCCTGCACATGGGAACTGATCAGTACTGCAGTTTCCAAGAGTTACGTGACATTACTTGTTAAGTGTGCTAGGAGAGGAACCTCTGTGGTACAGTGAGTGGCACAGCAAGTTGAGCTACCTACTCTACAGTTACAGGTTTTTTTAACACCTAATGTTTATAGTCACTGGTTAGGACAAGTTGCTGTTTCCAGACCTTCGCTAATTTTCAGGGCTGATTATTCAGTGTATTGAAGGTATTGCTTTTGCTACACTTTTTTTCTGGGACTTAGGCCTCTTGTAGTAATCTTTCTTTCAGGTAAGAAAAATAGAAGACCTGTAAGAAATTACCTGATTGCTTCAATATTTTTGTTTAACTCTTCTTCCCTCAGGATGACAACTGGGGTGAGACCACAACAGCAATCACAGGCACCTCTGAGCACAGCATTTCCCAGGAGGACATTGCCCGCATCAGTAAGGATCTGGAGGACAGCGTTGGGTTGGACTGCAAACGTTACCTGGGCTTAACAGTGGCAGCTGTTCTTGGACTCCTTGTCTTCCTTACCCCCATCGCTTTCATTCTGTTACCCCAGATCCTGTGGCGGGATGATCTGGAGCCATGTGGTACTGTCTGTGAGGGACTGTTCATCTCTGTGGCATTTAAACTCCTCATTCTTCTGATTGGGACCTGGGCTCTGTTTTTCCGCCAGCCCAAGGCAGATATACCAAGAGTGTTTGTGTTTCGGGCTCTTCTGTTGGTCCTCATATTTCTGTTTGTGTTCTCCTACTGGCTTTTTTACGGCGTTCGCATCTTGGACTCGAAGGACACCAACTACCAAGGAATAGTGCAGTACGCAGTGTCTCTGGTGGATGCTCTGCTCTTCATTCACTACCTGGCCATTGTGCTGCTGGAGCTGCGGCAACTGCAGCCCATGTTCACCATCAAGGTAGTTCGGTCAACGGATGGAGAGTCGCGATACTACAGCTTGGGACACCTGAGGTAGGTTCAAGCCCTGAAAGTCCAGCAGTGTTGATGGATGTGGCTGTGCTGGAGGATGAAGCATCAACTGCTTTTGTACTTGTGATATCACCGGTTTCTGAATCTTCCCCCAGAGTCTCTCCAAAGTTACCATACTGAACCTCTTTTCCCCTCTCAGTGTGGGAGAGATTGTCCCTGCTTTGGAGGAGTCCTGTGCACTTCTGTAAATGAAAAGAGCTGACCACATAACTTCAGGCTGATCGTTGAGCTAAGCCTGATGAGATATCTGTTTCAGATCCTTCTCTGGGCTTCTTGCCCTGTCTTCTTACTAGAGGAAAAGGCATCCTTGTGTGGCTGGGGCTGGCTTGTGCTTTTTGGCTGAGTGGGCCAGGCATCACTTTTGAGAGCAGCCTTTCAGGCTGTGCAGAACATCACTCCTTGGAGCCTCCTGACAGTCAATGTGGCCAGGTCTGAAGGAAGAAGTTAAATGGCCCTGTGTGAGAAAGCATAGCAACCTAATTTGCTGTTGAAAGCGTCCATTTCTCCTCACTGCCCTGTGCAGCCAAGAGTTGTACGAGGAACCTGAATAAACATCCCTCGGGTCCGATCAAGCTTTGTTATTTGGACCCTGCATGTGCCTTTTGCAGTCAGTTGAAATACTCATGCTGAGGTGTTTGTGCTCTGAAGCCTGCCACTGTGGCAGGCAGGGGCTGCCTTGAAGAATATAGCCAGGTAGCTACACCATGAGGTCTGAAGGCTGCTTCCAATGACTGAGGACCCTTGTTCCTAAGATGGGCGGTTTTCTGCAGTTTTGTGTTGGCTTGAGCGAAGTAGTATTTATTCCTTCTGAAGCAGTTGTCCTGATGCAGCCAAAATTTCGAGCATTTAGGAATAATATTTTTAATGAGTACTGGGGCTCATGTAGGTGCTTTTTTTTTTTTTTTTATTTGCCATGTCCTGTGAAGCTCCCTGGAAGTCTCTTAGTTCCTGTGTCCTGTGAAGCTAGCAGCTGAGCTCTGAGCCTGTTAAACATCTGTTCTGCTTATCCTGTCCAGACCCCTATGGCATGCCTATCTATTGCAGATGGAGAGATCAGTGTCTGCTGGTTTAAGTGTATATAGGAACAGTCTCCTGCAGCCACTAGGTTAGCAGTGGAATTGCTTTGAAGCAGATTTAGTGATAGAAGCTCAAGTCTGGGAGTTGGCTCCCTGATGCTGTCTCTGGCTTAATGGAAGAACTCAAGGTATTTTGAATGAAATGGGTCTAGACTCAGTATATTTTCTTCTCTGTAAAATGTGAAGGAGAGCCCCTCTTCTGTGATGGAAGTGCTCCCATTGACTTGATGAAAGGTCACCTTCAGCATCCTAAAAGATTAACTAATCCCTTTTTCTTGCTAAACCATTTTTTTTAAACTTAAGTTCCTCTGTGGTGACAGATCCAGCATAGTCTTTGAGATTAGGGAAGTGGAGAGATGGCCACCAAAGAGTTCCCCTGTGCCACAGCTTTGTGCCTTGAGATGTGCCAGGGCAGCTCTCTCATAAATTCTGTGCAGGAAGTTCAGTGTGTGTGTGTGTGTGTGTGTGTGTATATATATATATATATGTATACCTATATATGTACACACACAATGTGCAGGCTTGACTTGAGAGAGTTTCCTGGTTGCTTGGTGATAGATGATGGGTTTGTCTTCAGAAGAATT